ACCCACATACAGTAAATTCTTAATAAACATTTGAGTAAACAACGAATATAGCATTCAGTGGATTAACATAAAACAAATTCTCATATTCTCCTTGTTCCTCCCCCAGTCGTTATAGTCACCATACTATACGGAATGTGATGTCAGAGACCAGGCCCATTTTTCCTTGCTACACTATGTCCTTGCCATGGAATAGGTTTTCAGTAAGTGTTTGGGGAATGCATGAAATTCTCCTGTAGTATGAACAACTGGGCCATGATTCAAGAATAGTCGTCAAAACGTTTTTGTGCTTATTGCCAAGGGCAACACAACAGACATGGGAGGAAATGCAATACAGGCATACCTCATTTTACTGCACTTGGCAGATACTGTGTTTTTACAAACTGAAGGTCTGTGGCAACCCTGCAAGTCTATCGGCACCATTTTTCCGACAGCATTTGCTCACTTTGTCACGTTTTGTTAATTCTCACAATATTTCAAACTCTGTCATTATTATTTTATTTGTCATGGCGACCTGTGATCAGTGATCTTTGATGTTACTACTGTAATTGTTTTGGGGTACATCAAACCACATCCATGTAAGACGGCAAGCTTAACCAATAAATGTGTGTGTGTTCTCACTGCTCCGCCAACCGGCCAGCCGTTCCCGTGTCTCTCCCTCTCCTCGGGCCTCCCTGTTCCCTGAGATACAATAACACTGAAATCAGGCCAGTTAATAATCCTATACTGGCATTTAAGTGTTCAAGTGAAAGGCAGAGTCACACGTCTCTCAGTTTAATTCAGGAGCTAGAAATGATTAAGTTTAGTGAGGAAGGCATATCGAAAGCTGAGACAGACTGAAAGCTAGGGCTGCTGTGCCAAGCAATCAGCCAAGTTGTGAGCACAAGAGAAAAGTTCTTGGAGGAAAGTGCTACTCCAGTGAACACACCAACAACAGTAGAGTGAAACTGCCTTACTGCTGATACGGAGAGAGTTGTAGTGGTCTGGATAGAAAATCCAAGCAGCCACAACATTCCCTTAAGCCAAAGCCTAATTCAGAGCAAAGCTCTGACTCTCGGCAATTCTGTGAAGGTTGAGAGAGGTGAGGAAGCTGTGGAAGATTAAAGCCAACAGGGCTTCCCTGGTGGCGCAGTGGTTGAGAGTCCGCCTGCCGATGCAGGGGACGCGGGTTCATGCCCCGGCCCGGGAGGATCCCACGTGCCGTGGAGCGTCTGGGCCCGTGAGCCATGGCCGCTGAGCCTGCGCGTCCGGAGCCTGTGCTCCGCAGCGGGAGAGGCCGCAACAGTGAGAGGCCCGTGTACCGCAAAAAAAAAAAAAAAAAAAAAAAAAAAGATTAAAGCCAATAGAGGTTGGTTCATGAGGCTGAAGAAAAGAAGCCATCTCCGTAACATAAAAGTGCAAGGTGAAACAGCAAGTGTGATGCAGAAGCTGCAGCAAGTTATCCAGAAGATCTAATAGCCTTCTACTGGAAAAAGATGCCATCTAGGACTTCCATAGCTAGAGAGGAGAAATCAATGCCTGGCTTCAAAGTTTCAAAGGACAGGCTGATTCTCTTGTTAGGGGCTAATGCAGCTGGTGACTTTAAGTTGAAGCCAGTGCTCATTTACCATCCTGAAAATCCTAGGGCCCTTCAGAATTATACTAAACCTACTCTGCCTGTGCTCTATCAGTGGCAAAACAAAGCCTAGATGATAGCACATCTATTTACAACATGGTTAACTGAATATTTTAAGCCCACTGTTGAGACCTACTGCACGGAAAAAAAGATTCCTTTCAAAATATTGATACTACCACTCACTGACAATGCACCTGGTCACCCAAGAGCTCTGATGGAGATGTACAAGATTCATGTTGTTTTCACGTCTGCTAACACAACATCCATTCTGCAGCCCATGGATCAATGAGTAATTTCAACTTTCAAGTCTTATTACTTAAGAAATACATTTTGTAAGGCTATAGCTGCCACAGACAGTGATTCTTCTGACGGATCTGGGCAAAGTAAATCGAAAGCCTCTGGAAAGATTCACCATTCTAGGTACCATTCAGAACACTTGTGATTCATGAGAAGAGGTCAAAATATTAACAGTAGTAGCAGTTTGGAAGAATTTGATTCCAACCCTCCTGGATGACTTTGAGGGGTTCAATACTTCAGTGGAGGAAGTAACTGCAGATGCAGTGGAAATAGCAAAGGAACTAGAATTAGAAGTGGAGCCTGAAGACGTGACTGAACTGCTGCAATCTTATGATAAAACTTTTAACAGACGAGGAGTTCCTTCCTGTGGGTGAGCAAGGAGAGTGGTTTCTTGAGATGGCATCTACTCCTGGTGAAGATGCTGTGAAAATTATTGAAATGACAACAAAGTATTTAGAATATTAGATAAACTTGGATGATGAAGCAGCAGCCGGGTCTGAGAGGATTTGATTCTAAATTTTTTTTTTTTTTTTTTGTACGCGGGCCTCTCACTGTTGTGGCCTCTCCCGTTGCGGAGCACAGGCTCCGGATGTGCAGGCTCAGCGGCCATGGCTCACGGGCCCGGCTGCTCCGTGGCATGTGGGATCCTCCCGGACCGGGGCACAAACCCGCGTCCCCTGCATCGGCAGGCGGACTCTCAACCACTGCGCCACCAGGGAAGCCCTAATTCCAATTTTGAAAGAAGTTGTACTGTCGGTAAAATGTTACCAAACATCATTGCATGCTACAGAGAAATGGTTCGTGAAAGGAAGTGTAAACTGACGCAGCAAACTTCATTGTCTTATTTTAAGAAATGGCCACAGTGACCCCAACCTTTAGCAACCACCACCCTGATTAGTCAGCAGCCATCAGCATCTAGGCAAGATGCTCCACCAGCAAAAGGATAGATTATGCTTTGCTGAAGGCTCAGATGATGGTTAGCAGTTTTTTTAGCAATAAAGTATTTTTAATTAAGGTCTGAACCTTAATTAAAAGTTCACTACGAATTAATACATAATGCTATTGCACCCTTAACAGACTACAGTAGAGCATAAACATAACTTTTATATATGCTGGGAAACTTCGTGTGACTTGCTTTATCGTGGTATTTGTTTTACTGCAGTGGTCTGGAAACGAACCTGCAGTAAGTTCAACGTATGCTATAATCCAAATTAATCGCTTGTTGATAAACGTGACCTGGAAGAGTGAACATTAGGTGTAGAAAAGAAACTAGAAGGAAATCTTTTACTATTTCAATCACAAATGAAATAGAATTTAAGCATTTTCTCTGATCCAATCAGGATACTGGCATTCTGCCATCACTGAGTGTACTGACTGCAGGCATGACATTTTTTTGCAAGTGCTATTACTAAAAATGACTAGAAAAATTATGTTACTCCTCCAAATTCTTAGATAATTACCACCTTACTATACTGAATCAGTGGGGCCTAAATGCTTTTTTACTGCTGTATGAGTTGCTATCATTTTCTAACACATTTCTGGCATATAATGAAGAATGAAGTTTTTGACTGAATGAAGGAATGAAATAACCTTTAAAAGAAACTTCTTAAATTATTCTACAAAAATAAGGTATAAGTTTTGGCATGTAGCCCTCAAGGTCTTTAGGATGTAGAAAGAATGACAGAATATTTTCTCCAAAAACAGAATTCTTTATTCATAGGGTTAAACTAAAACAGAAATGTTTGGCTTCCCTGGTGGCACAGTGGTTGAGAGTCTGCCTGCCAATGCGGGGCACACAGGTTCGAGCCCTGGGCCGGGAGGATCCCACATGCTGCGGAGCAACTAAGCCCATGCGCCACAACTACTGAACCTGTGCTTTAGAACCTACGAGCCACAACTACTGAAGCCCGCACGCCTGGAGCCCGTACTCCACAGCAGGAGAAGCCACCACAATGAGAAGCCTGCGCACCAGAGAGAGGAGTGGTCCCCGTTCACCGCAACTAGAGAAAAGCCCGCGTGCAGGGTCTTATGCCTCCTCCCTTGAATCCGGGCAGGCTTTATTGACATGTGTCATCAAAAGACAACAGTGGAAGTGACATTCTGAGACTTCTGAGCCTAGGTCAAAAGAAAGCTTGCAGCTTTGCTCGGCTATTGGAACATTCTTTCTGGAACTCTGAGTCGCCCATAATGAGTCTGATTACCTGGGCCTACTGTGCTGGAGGGACCACAGGTGGGTGCTCCCAGTTCCAGCTGAACCTACATTCCAGCCATTCCCACCAAGGGGCCAGATATGTGAGTGAAACAGTTGTGGACCTTCCAGGCCAGCCAACCTGCCATTTAAATATCAGCAAGGGATCTCTTTTGACACCTTGTATGAGAGAAGATTCACTCAGCCAAGCCCTTGTGCCAAACGCTGACTCAAAAATCATGAGATATTAAAAAACAAAATGTTGTTTTAAAATTGTGAGCTCTTTGTTTTGTGATCAGCTGTTGTATAGCAATAGATAACAGGAACACTGAGAAGTGAACACTGTGAGTACTACTTGAAACAATTTTTATCTATCTTGAATCTGTGGACCAACTCATCAATTTCTATCCATGCCTAGAATTAAAAGCCTTCTGAGTGGTTAGTTCTAAGTCATCATACATGTGTAGCATCAAAAGCCTCAAGTGACCTTTTTTCCCCCACCAACCTCTTTTCTCAGTCATAGTTGATCAATTGCTTCCCCTAGGGTTGTTTTTGCCAATACAACTCCTGCAGTTTCAATCTCTCTAATTCTAATCTCCTCTAATCTTAGGTTATTTTCGACTCTCACAACACGGATTGGTGCAGAATGGAACGAAAAAGTATAAAACCACTAAAAAAAACATATTGGCCACATACAAATAAAAAGAAATATATTACATGATACAAGCAAACCAAAGAGCTAGACTCAACAAGCTAATCCAGATGACTCCAAAAAACAGCTGGTAGGCATGTCGCAAAAGGTCAACTTACCCTTTTACAATTCTGAAAGTGAGTTTTGTATGAAAAGTATAATTATATATAGAATATTTAATATTTGTAGCCAGGGGAAAAAATCCTGTTTACCTGCAAATCAATATTGTTGTCAATGCAATGTTCATTCTTCTCTGCCAAAATCTTCCCATAGTTTTCAGATTTGATAAGATTTTCAACTCCGGTTGTATCTTTCACTTCTGCCTCCAAATCCTTCATTGTTTCAGTTTCATTTTTTACAGTAACAGTATCAGACATCCTCATTAGCAAAGGTTATTTTAGAATTCTACAGGGAACTTGAAGCCTTAGCAAGCAAGAAAAAAAAATTTAATTCAGTTTGAAATATTTCTTACATTGAGTTAGTGCACAACATTGACTAAGTGCCTTCTATGTTCCAGGAATAATGTAAAATATACACGGATAGAAGCAAAATTCCTGCTTCTAAGGAACTGTAAAATACAGTTTAGTGGCAGACATATTAAAAAAAAAATCATAAAACAATGAGATAAGGGCTATAATAAGGGTATGAGGTGATTTTGATGTGCACACCACTTGTGAAAATTCCCAAGAAACATTAAGGAATAAGCCCTATTGAGATGTAAGGTAATGGCTGGAGAATTATAAATGCATATTTAGATGACATCAGAAATCTTTTTCTCTGAAGGGATGAGTATTACCCTGTGAAAAAAAAAATTTTCCTGTCATAGCTTTCATCTAGATTTCTGAAATTTCTAATTTGTTACATTAACCTGCAATTCCAAAAGGAAATAACTTAAAAAATAGACAGTAACATTCTATACAAAACACAGTTGTGAATCTTCACTAATAACTGTTTAGCGTTATGAATCAAGCATTGAAAACTCTCCTGACTCATGTGATTCAGGGCCAAACAACACATATGGGCTCTATAGATCAAATATATAAGATGCCAATATATTTCATATCTTTAGTGAGTTTAAGACAACAATGGGGACTTTACACTGAATATCAAATAGGAATGTATCAGACAAAGCTGTCATTTTAGGACATGTGAGAAATGTGAACTTGAACAGCAGAACTTGATGTAAACCACTTGGTTTTTTCTAGCCTTATTGAGATATAATTCATATATAACAATGTGTAAGCCTAAGGAGTACAACGTGATGATTTGATACACTTATATACTGCAAAATGATTAACACAATCCATCACACCACTTAATTAAATTTTTGTGTGTGTGGTGAGGACAAAGACAACTTATTTCAAAATGCATCAAAAAATGTAGATGAATTGATGGAGAGGTACAGGGATGGATATAGATGGACAGATGCAGGTTAAAGCAAGTAAGATAAAATGTTAATGATAGAATGCAGGGGTGGTTAAATGGCTGTTCACTGTAAAATTCTTTCAACTTCTCCGTATTTCTGAAAATTTCTTAATAAAATCTAGAGGGGGGTGAAAAAACCAGTAGAACTTGTCTTTCCTATATAGAAAATTCAAGAGTTCTTTTCCTGAAAGAATGTTTTGCAACTAAGTATCTAAACAGATTTCAGGAATCCATAAATACATCTGAAAAGCTTAAAAAAAGTCTTCCTTAATTATATCCACACCAAAGTTAAGTGGTTCATTCTCAAAACAGTAAGGTTACTAAGGTGGAAGGGGGTACTTAAAGTACTCTGGCTCCTTGCTTTTTGTATATAAGATTTTGAAAGAAAAAGTGAGATGTTTTTCTCAAGTGACAAGACAGGTTACCTGATGTGTTCTATGGATTTGGGATTGTGGTGTCCCACAAAAATAAAATAAAATAATCCAAGGTTCTTTCTCACAGTTGTCAGCCAGGATGTCAATTGTCTTGACCAATTTGGAATCTGGCAGGAGGAGTCCCATGTCCTTGTCACCACTGTAGATTCCTGGACTGAAATGGACTGTCTTGGATCAAATATATCATTCCTTTCAGTGGCCTAAAATTAAAACAAAAGAAAACATTATAACAAAATAGCCGAGGGAAATGAAACACTGCACAGTAAACTGGAAATGAAAAATATTACTGTTGGTGACTTTATTATTTTCTTGTCCTAAACAAGAGCCAGAACACTTAATTACAACCAATTCTGACATGCATTGGTTTTGTGAGCCTGGGTAAGCCATGAGGCCACCTAGAGAGTTTTGCAGTAAAAGCAGAAGGAAGAAGAAAGCAAGGGAATGTATTAAAAACCAAGTTTGTGGTCTGTTTTGTAAGGGAGATATAATTTTCGTTTTAAAAGGTTTTCCCAAGATCAGAACCAGGAACACTTGCCTCCAAGAACTATGATTTTTAGAGTTTCCTTCCAGAGCTACAACTCTATGGACTTAAGACAGTAATTCTGAAAAATAATCATATTCCAGGTTTTTAAAAGTCCAAAAGAACAAAAGCTATGATAAGCCATTTAACATTTTCAAAGAAACGCACATTGCGTTTCTTTGGTGGCGTGACTATTTATAAAGACATCTGAAAGACTAATGCCAAAATTCTCTCAGTGTCATCTGTTTTGAAAGTTAGTTTCATTTAAAACTTTTCTGGTGTAAGTGACTACATCACAGCAAAAAAACACTCTAAAAATCCTATACAGCTCTTCCATCTTCCTTTGACAATTTTGTTGTCAATAAACAGAACAGCACAATTTTAAGGTGAAACAACTGAGCATAATGAGGTCCAAGTACCAAGAGATAAAATACTAATACTGCCGAGCATGCATCACAGAAGAATTCACATCTTATACTAACTCTTCAAAAAACAATTTTGAAATGGAATTATTTAGAACCCTGATACAGATACACATTAGTTTTCACATCTCAATGTCACTCTGTTTGACTACAAGATAACAGAAAAGGAGGTATCATAAACAAATGTCAAAACTGTTTTTAACTGACATTGTCATCTCAATATGACCAAGGTTCTGGGCCACTAAATCAAATGGCTAGGCTTAAAAAAAAAAAAATCCACCCAAAACAAACCAAAAAATACTTAAATATAATTTTTCTCATTAAAAAATTTTTCTCTCATAAAATGGTAGACACAAGATGGCAGCACTCACTAAGCAGCCAAATTCTTTGTGTTCCTGCAGACTTTGGGATTTAATCATGTCTCCTTTAAAATCGAAATTCTAAAGAAGCATGGTTGTAATCCATTTATGAAATGAATAAGGCATCACTAAGGTAATAGCTGCAAGGGGTAATGAGGAAGAGGCACAATGTGAAAAGGTGAACACATCAGAAGATCCTCTGAGGACCTGTGCAACCTTAGGGACCACCGAGTCCAATCATATAATTTACCATGCAAGTTATTAGCACCCAGGAGTATAATAAAATGACTTGTCCAAAGTCATACAACCAATCTGTAAGACCAATACTTGCTAATAAGCCACACCACTTGACAACAGATTAATGAATGTTGCTGAACCAAATGGCCAGTTATTGCCTGGGAAGGAGACAACTGGTATAATAGAAAGATCAAATGCATTAGCCTTAGACCTGAGTTTAAATCCCAGCGCTTCCAGTTAACAACCTCGGTAAACTGCTTAATCTCTCTGAGTCACAATTTTCTAAACTGTGAAGTGGGGAAAAGATACTTAGCTGATAAACTGTTAGAAGAACTGAATGGTTTAAATGCAAAGCACTCGGCCACAGCCTCTCTTACACAGTGGGCACTCCTTAAAATGTTAGTTTCCTTCCATGGCTAGAACCGCCGTAGGGCAACAACTGGATGAGGCTTAGTCCGCTGTGTCCTGGCTACACCCTGCATGATGGGAGACTGACAGCAGGCCCGCCACAGGTGCGCAGGGGCTTTGCACACCTCAGGCCTCCTCGTGCACGTACCCTACAAAGCTCGGCAGAGAAGGACAAGCGTTTGTGTGGACGCGCGCTAAGTTACGGGAGGGAGTGCAACAGCCTCAAGGGGCTCTCACTAGCGCCTTCTCATTTAACATCCAAAATTCACATAAGCTTTGCATTCTTCTCATGAATATTAATGTCTTTGTCTTAAATACAAATGTTTTCCTCTCTAAATCTTTAAGCAAAAGAGGTATTCCAGCTTTCTGGTATTCGCTAAAACAAAATCCCTTTTATCTTGGCACAAAGCCTACCCTTTTACAGTTACCTAAGGCTGTGTGGACGTGTACGCGTCAAGTACATAAAGGCACAGACACATCATATTACATCTCTGCCACCACACTTAGGAGTGAATTAAATGCATCCTAATGTAATAAATAGTTATACAGTAAGTCAAAGTGATTAAGGAACTTAAATGAATCTGGTAGGTTTCTACAATAGAAAGACAACTTAAGAGAAAAAAAACCTTGGCATTTATTAAGTGCACACATCTGAGTACCTACAGTTAGTGATATTGAAAAACTGAGTTTCTCAGACTCTGTTTCAACCTAAAAGAGATGGATATATGTGCTCAAAATTCATACTCAACTTTGAAAAAACATTCTTCCATTCGGTAACATGTTACTTATTAGGAACATACCAAAGATTTGATTACATACAACTTCTGTGCTACCAGGTAGCCAACAAAAGAGAAATGTCACATGTATGTATGTAGACATAATAAAATCTTCAGAACCTTAGGCACAAAAAGGTTGGCACCCCCTCAGCACCATAAGCAAAAGGGAATTAAAGGGAAAACTAAAGATTATAACCTAAAAAAACTAAAACTATAAAAGTACAGGAAATATAGGAAATACTTTATAATTACTGGGTGAAAGAGTCCTTCCCAAACATGATGTAAAAATCTAGAAGCTATCAACGGAAAATATTAACAAAACTTACAATGATGTTTTAATATATTTCTGTACAACAAAAATATAACAGAGATTAAAAGGCACATGATGTAATAAAAAATATTTCCAACACAAAAGTGCCAAAATCTGTAAAGTAAACAAGGTCTTAAAATCAAAGAGAAAAGGAGAGAGAAATGGGAACTGCAATTTACAAAAGAAATACAAATAACTACCACCCAAACTACTCATAAATAGCTCACCATGTGCAGGTACTGTTCTAATACCTTTCATAATTAATTCATTTAAAGCTCACAATAATTCTAGAAAGTAGGTTCTATTAATATCCCTGTCTTACAGATTAGGAAACTAAAGCATGGAGAAATTGATTTGTCCAAGTTCAAATAAGTCACATAGCTGGTAAGAGTGGGATATGAAGCAGGATATGAACTGGGGCAGACAGGTGCTCCGCTGTAAGCTCTTACCCATAGTGCTGTATCATCATTCAGGTGTACCAAGAAGAGGAGCAATTTGGGCTTACAGAGCATCTTTATTTCAAAAATACTTAGAACGTGTGGTAACGGTAACGTGTTCAAGACAGAAAGTACTAAACTTATCCTTTTCACATAGATAGGAGCTATGTACTACTGACTTCTTATCCACCATCAGTCAGGCTAATCACTACTGAGTTATCAGAACTGTCAGGTAATCATCCACTTTCTCTTATTCTCTCTCTCTCTTGTGATCTTAAGTATTAAACTATGTAAACTTGGCTGGCAGTAAGGATTCAATTTGTGGCGAAGGAACAACATGAAGCCTAGGAGCTTACAAACGATAACTATGCGTAGTTGAGTGCCTTCCTCCAGGTAACAAAGCAGGGCAGAATTAGGATCAACATTTGGGAAGTATATGCAGTCTATGAATGAATAGTTTCTCCAGTGAAAATGTCAGATACAATTTTCGGCAATAAAAATGAAACACTGATACTGCTAATTCAAAGGATCACCGTATTCTGCCTATGGCCCAATATTTGGTTCTACCGCACAAAAGAATTAAAGAATTAAGCAATCAAAAATAATATTCTAATATTATTAGAATAAATATTCTAATTTCACAAAATGAAAACCAGTTTATTCTAGATAAAACATTAAAAAAATTATTTAAGGGAATTCCCTGGGAATCCAGTGTTTAGGACTCTGCACTTCCAGTGCCGGGGGCCTGGGTTTGATCCCTGGTAAGGGAACTAAGATCCCTCAAGCTGCATGGCACGCGCGCACACGCACACACACACACACACACAAAGTTAAATTTTTTGGTGGGAGGAAAGAAATGTGGCCCTACAGGTTAAAAAAAAAAAAAAAGAGTTCTCTTCACATGAATATTGGGGTGGGGGGAAGAGTCACATCACTGAAGTTACCTGAATAGAATTTGGCAAAACACACAGCATTGTTCCTCCCTTATTCAATGTCATTTCATTAGATGGACACAATGCTGTATTTCTTCCCTTAGAGAAAAAATGTAATCAGGCAGGCGCATTTATAAAATAAACCAAACCCACAAAACCAACACACAGCTTCTCCTAAGGTTATGAATTGACACAACCAATTGGCTAATGGCCTCTAGGGAGAAAGGCAAAAAAACCCCCACTGTTTATGCTCTACTTAGAAATAGTGGAAATTCACATTCTCAGAGTCAATCACTTGTCAGTTACTTGAACAAGAATACAAGCAGCAACATTTCAAAATGCTAAATGTCTATGTGATTTATAAACAGTTGCTGTCATCCAATAAAAGTTTACTGAGTAACTTCAGAAAGTAGTACAGCTGCAATAAGTATTAGCTATACTATTTAAAATGACCAAAAGAGAAAAGAACTACCTTGACCTGAAAGAGTTTGTTAAACCCAAATGAGGAAGTTAATAATGACACTTATCAACAAATACATAAAATAATTTTAAGAGGATCTTAAAAAAGAGAAGAAAAGGCTTGCTAAGTTTAAAGATCGGGAGGGAATAATTTATTAGTGGAGTCCTACCATATTATGAGACAAATTACTTTTATGGAAAAAGTTATATGGCGATGTAAGGTGTTACACAAATTCATTGCATTCTGAGTAGAAAACTGGAGAAGGAAAAAGAAGCCCATTTAACGGAAATAGAGAGTATGAACTGAGGTTGAGGACAAAAAAATGTGATAAAAGCTAGA